AATCAATAAAGTATCAAATATTAAAAAGGTTTAAAATATTTTTAAAATGTTTTTTATTGATTTATTTTTTTTATAAAGCAAAAAAAAAAAAAAAAAAAAAACCGCATTAAAGCGTTAGGTATATATTTTATTTTAGGTTCTGATTGGCTTGTGCCACGTCCAATCACGTGGACTTGAAATTTTCGTGGCGACCCAAGGGTTAAACAAATAATACCACTTGTTTCCCATTGTCCTGTGGTGGTCAGTCTAGAGATGGTGCTAGTCAATATAACTCAACAATACGAAAAATAAGAAAACTGGGCAAATCATTTACATCATTTACTTAACATTACTGATTTACATAGCTGAGCATAGTAAGAATATCAGTTAACGCAAGCATAGTAGGAATATCAGTCAACGCAAGCATACCACTTTAAAACTTCATTTTTGTCCACAATGGCTCGATTATATCATGATCCAAGATATCACCAGTTTCTCCAAATCAATTTCTGAATAGATGAGTCATAATAATTTCAACATACAAAAAAAAAGAAATAACAATAATATTGATAATAATAATAAACTTTAACCAGAAACAGTTTAGTCACTAAAGTATTTATTTTACAATGTCTCACACTCATGCGATAAACTTTCTTGAAATAAAATTGATATGTTTTATTGTGGAGTTGTTTGAGAGGTTTGCCTCCCAATACGATCTTCCTTTTCTCTGATATAACGTCGTAAAAGTTCCTCCAAACTGTTATCTTGTTGATCAACCGCAATTTGTGTCGCTCTTCGCGCCAATTCCCAGATCCAAAGCTTTGCAGCATCATTATCTAATCCTTTTAGATCAGTTCCTCCTTTAAATTTTTGAACCGCACTAGCAATGTCACGTGCAGGAAGCTGATGATTCGGATACTTCGCCTTCAATAATTGTCGTTGAGTAGTAACTCCCAAATTACCATGAAGCGTATAGAATTCAATATCTTCAAGAACTGCTTTCGGTAAATTTCGATTCTTTGGTGACGCTGCTTCCAATACACTACGATACCTAGGTGATGAAATCGCTTGGTTTGCTGATGGTTGTGACGATGGTCTAGCTTCTCGTGTTTGTTGAATATTAAGTTCATGATTATGCTCATTCACGAACGTAGTAACAGTTATGCATGTACTCGTTTTTGGAAACGAAAGGTTGATATGCCATCCACATTCAATACGTTTAGACGTTCGATTGCGTTGCTCATGTACTGCTGCTTTTTTTTTTGGAGTATACCGTCCTCCGTGTTCACAATCATACGTCCTTTTTCTAACCATCCCCATTTCATCCCTTTCAACTCGTTTCTTTCTGACAACAAATCCTCGCTCTCGACCATAGATTTCAAGAAATTCATCCACGTTTTCCCAATTTTGAAAGGTAGTACCAACTGCAAGGATTACACTTGGGTTAGCCGCTTGAGGCGTAACGAAAGTACCATTATCGCTAAGTACGCCTGCTGTACCACTAAACCCTGCTGGATCTTCTTTGGGTGTGGTAGGTGACAAGGGAATAATAGTTTCTCGATGACCAGATCCGTCTTGCTCAACAGGAAGCGCGATTGGTGTCGGTTGAATTGGTGAAATTGCTGTCAACATGGAAACGTCCTCTCGTACCTCGTAATTCATATTTTGATCTTTTTAATTTACTTTACCGTATTTACTAATTGCAAGAGGCTTTATCGCCAATGTACCTAAAAAGTTACGAAAGTTGAAGACCGAAATTCAGTAGAGTATTTTTTCGCAAGGCTTTCAGTTTCTCCCTATTAATACGGAGATCGGAAGATTAGGTTTTGATGCAGCCAATCAAGATTGTACAGGCACATGACATATAAATGCATAATACACGTGATACCGCATATGCAATGTTGTAATGCTTGTGGCCAATAAAAAATACCTTGAATTTTTGAGTCGTAATGGTAAATTGCAATGCAACAATTTGAACTGTTTGACCCGCCCTCGGATGCTATATCATCAGTTGTATTTAGCCCCACTAGCCCCATTCACCTTCTGGTGTCTTCGTGGGACAAAGTAATTAAATTCTCTTAACTCTTTATGTTTTTTTCAGTATTAATCTTTTTTTTTTTTCCAATTATTGTAGACTATTAAATTGTATAACGTTGAAGAAAACTCGCTTCGAGGGTCGTATAATCATGATGCGGAAGTTCTTGACTGTTGTATGTCCGATGAAACTCATGTGTACAGTGGTGGGTTAGATAATTGTATAAAGAGGTATCTATTTGTCTCTAACTTTCCGTGTTCGTTTTTTTTTTTTTCACTCTATTTCAACGTTCTTTAATTTATGAAGTTTCGATATCAATACGCATAATGGATTTGTTGTGGGATCACATCAGAAAGCTGTTAAATGCATAGAATATAGTATTGAAAACAGTAAGTAATATATCTGTTTTTCAATTGCATTTTTTTTTTTTTCATTTATAAAAAAAATAAATCAATAAAAAACATTTTAAAAATATTTTAAACCTTTTTAATATTTGATACTTTATTGATT